GTGGAAGCTACCTGGTCTGTCGCTCCGCACTAAGTTTCAGGTCTTCTCGGCCACCGTCATTCCCTCCCTTCTCTACGCTTGCGAAACGTGGACCCCCCTAATGGAACATCTTCGCCGGTTAGAAACATTTAGGCTGGCCTGCCTATGATCCATCCTGGGTTTAACCAGACTGGATTGTGTGAGGAGCTCACAAATCCTTGAAATATCTGGGCAAGGTCCCATCGGTGAGCTTCTCCGGCGAGGAAGGCTGCGATGGCTGGGTCATGTAGCCCGCATGCCCAGCCACCGCATGCTGAAACAGCTTTTGTTCGGCCGGATTGAGGGGGCTAAGCGGGCGCGGCACGGGCTAGAGAAGAGATGGAGTGATGTGGTACAGGAGGACGTGGAGCTGAGTGGACTTGCCGATGACTGGTACCAGCGGTGTCAAGATCGGCTTCTGTGGAGGAGGCTCGTGAAGGATGCTACTGGGCAGTTGGAGGCAGTCGCCCTCCAACAACAACGGAGGACGGAGGAGCGACGCTCAGAACAACGAGCGGAGCGCCGGGTGGCTAAAGCACAGCAGGTTGGCACAGTAGGGGGCACAGGTGGTGCATCAGCCAGTCATCTCAGTCAGTCGACCCGTGGCACCTGGGTCTGCCCCGTGACCTCCTGCCAGTGGGCGTTCGACACTTCACGTGGCCTCAGGGTGCACATAGCCTGGCACAAGCGTCGTGGTGACGTCACCGCCACTTAGTGGCGAATGGCGGTTGTTGTTGTTGTGTGAGTGTGCGACGCTCACAACAACGAGCGGAGCCTCCGCCGGGTGGCTAAAGCACAGCATGTTGGCACAGTAGGGGGCACAGGACGTGCACCTAGCCTGGCACAGGTGGTGCATCGGCCGTTCAACTCAGTCGGTCGACCCGTGGCACCTGCTGGGTCTGCCCCGTGACCTGCTGGTGCACCTAGCCTGGCACAGGTGGTGCATCGGCCACTCATCTCAGTCGGTCGACCCGTGGCATCTGCTGGGTCTGCCCCGTGACCTCCTGGTGCACCTAGCCTGGCACAGGTGGTGCATCAGCTAGCCATCTCAGTCATCTCAGTCAGTCGACCCGTGGCACCTGCTGGGTCTGCCCCGTAACCTACTGCCAGCGGGCGTTCGACACGTCACGTGACTGCCTCTAGGTGCACCCAGCCTGGCACGAGCGCCGCGGTGACGTCACCGCCACTTAGTGGGAGCGGTGGGACAGTGGTTAGCGCGACCCGAGTTCGATTCCCGATCATCTGCACCGGTCCCTGTGCCTCGCCTAGGTCTACTCAGCCTCAAATGAGTACCTGGTGCAGTGTGTAGTAAACATCGCCACTGGGGGAGAGACAAAGGCGGCCGGGCGTGGTGCTGGCCACCCACCCCCTCGTGTGCCACAGTGCCGGTAGCCTTCATACAGTGAGGGACAAACAAGTATTTGATCCCCTGCTGATTTTGTACGTTTGCCCACTGACAAAGAAATGATCAGTCTATAATTTTAATGGTAAGTTTATTTGAACGGTGAGAGGCAGAATAACAACAAAATCCAGAAAAACGCATGTCAAAAATGTTATGAATTGATTTGCATTTTAATGAGGGAAATAAGTGTTTGACCCCCTCTCAATCAGAAAGATTTCTGGCTCCCAGGTGTCTTTTATACAGCTAACGAGCTGAGATTAGGAGCACACTCTTAAAGGGAGTGCTCCTAATCTCAGCTTGTTACGTGTCCACAGAAGCAATCAATTAATCAGACTCCAAACTCTCCACCATGGCCAAGACCAAAGAGCTCTCCAAGGATGTCAGGGACAAGATTTTTCCCTCACTGTAGATACATAGAGACCCATAGAAACTCAGAGACCCACAGAAACCCATATAGATACATGGAGACCCATATATACCTATAGTAATACATAGAGACCCACAGAGATACATAGAGACCCATGGAAACTCAGAGACCCACAGAAACCCATATAGATACATGGAGACCCATATATACCTATAGTAATACATAGAGACCCACAGAGACCCACAGAGATACATAGAGACCCATAGAAACTCAGAGACCCACAGAAACCCATATAGATACATAGAGACCCATATATACCTATAGTAATACATAGAGACCCACAGAGACCCACAGAGATACATAGAGACCCATAGAAACTCAGAGACCCACAGAAACCCAATATAGATACATGGAGACCCATATATACCTATAGTAATACATAGAGACCCACAGAGACCCACAGAGATACAGAGACCCATAGAAACTCAGAGACCCTTAGAGATACATAGTGATACATATAGATACATGGAGACCTATATATACCTATAATGATACATAGAGATACATAGAGACCCACAGAGATACATAGAGACCCACAGAGATAGAGACCCATAGAGATACATAGAGACCCGTAGAGATACATAGAGACACATTGAGAGGGGGTCAAATACTTAATGTAAATCAATTTATAACATTTTTGACATGCGTTTTTCTGGATTTTTTGTTGTTATTCTGTCTCTCACTGTTCAAATAAACCTACCATTACAATTATAGACTGATCATTTCTTTGTCAGTGGGCAAACGTACAAAATCAGCAGGGGATCAAATACTTTTTTCCCTCACTTTATACACAGACAAAGATCCCCCGTGTAGCCTCTAGCAGGGCTGTAGGGGCAAGTGCTGTTAGTAGCGAGTAGCAGCAGCACCTACACACAGACAAAGATCCCCCGTGTAGCCTCTAACAGGGCTGCAGGGGCAAGTGCTGTCAGTAGCGAGTAGTAGCAACACCTACACACAGACAAAGATCCCCCGTGTAGCCTCTAGCAGGGCTGTAGGGGCAAGTGCTGTTAGCAGTAGCGAGTAGTAGCAGCACCTATACACAGACAAAGATCCCCCGTGTAGCCTCTAGCAGGGCTGTAGGGGCAAGTGCTGTCAGTAGCGAGAAAGCAGCAGCACCTATACACAGACAAAGATCCCCCGTGTAGCCTCTAACAGGGATGTAGGGGCAAGTGCTGTTAGTAGCGAGTAGCAGCAGCACCTATACACAGCCAAAGATCCCCCGTGTAGCCTCTAACATGGCTGCAGGGGCAAGTGCTGTTAGTAGCGAGTAGCAGCAGCACCTACAGACAAAGATCCCCCGTGTAGCCTCTAGCAGGGCTGTAGGGGCAAGTGCTGTTGGTAGCGAGTAGTAGCAGCACCTATACACAGACAAAGATCCCCCGTGTAGCCTCTAACAGGGCTGTAGGGGCAAGTGCTGTTAGTAACGAGTAGCAGAAGCACCTATACACAGACAAAGATCCCCCGTGTAGCCTCTAGCAGGACTGTAGGGGCAAGTGCTGTTAGTAGCGAGTAGCAGCAGCACCTACACACAGACAAAGATCCCCCGTGTAGCCTCTAACAGGGCTGTAGGGGCAAGTGCTGTTGGTAGCGAGTAGTAGCAGCACCTACACACAGACAAAGATCCCCCGTGTAGCCTCTACAGGTTGTCTGGGCAAGTGCCGGAACGGCGCACGAGGGGGGGTGGGTGGCGAGCACCACGCCCGGCCGCCTTTGTCTCCCCGGTGGCGATGTTCACCACACCACCGCGACACCAGGTAAACATTTGAGGCTGAGTCGACCTAGGGGAGGCCCAGGACCGGTTCAGATAATCGTCACTGGCGGTGCTGGCCGTGAGCGGGAATCGAACTCGGGTCGGCGGGGTTGTAGCGCAGCGTAGCGCTAACCACTACACCCACCGCTCCCCACACACACACAGACACACACACACAAACACACAAACACTTGCACACACACACACACCTGCACACACAAACACACGCACACAAACACACAAACACCTGCACACACAAACACACGCACACAAACACACAAACACCTGCACACACAAACACACGCACACAAACACCTGCACTCACACACACCTGCACACACAAACACACGCACACACAAACACACACACACACCTGCACACACAAACACACGCACACAAACACACAAACACCTGCACCGAAAAACGCACGCACACAAACACCTGCACACACACACACCTCCACACACACACACCTGCACACACAAACACACGCACACAAACACACACACACAAACATCTGCACACACACACCTCCACACACACACACCTGCACACACACACACCTCCACACACACACCTGCACACACCAACACGCACACACAAACACACACACACAAACACCTGCACACACCCACCACACACACGCACACCTGCACACAAACACACCTGCACACAAACACACGCACAAACACACACACACCTACACACACACAAACACACGCACAAACACACACACACAAACACACCAACACACACCTACACACACACGTGTACACACACACACACACGTGTGCACACAAACACACACCCAAACACACACCTGCACACACACACACTAACACACACCTGCACACAAACACACACCTGCACACATACATACACACCTACACACACACACCTACACACCTGCACACACACACGCACACGTGTACACACACACACATGTACACACACACGTGTACACACACGTACACACACACACACGTGTACACACACACGTGTACACACACATCTGCACACACACACACCTGCACACACACGTGTACACACACACGTGTACACGCACACGTGTACACACACACACATGTACACACACACGTGTACACACACGTACACACACACACACGTGTACACACACACGTGTACACACACATCTGCACACACACACACCTGCACACACACGTGTACACACACGTGTACACACACACGTGTACACACACACGTGTACACACACACCTGCACACACACACGTGTACACACACACGTGTACACACACACACGTGTACACACACACACCTGCACACACGTGTACACACACACGTGTACACACACACGTGTACACACACACGTGTACACACACACGTGTACACACACACACGTGTACACACACACACGTGTCCTACCTTGCTCCTCCGAGGCTGCACCACCCAGACACACGCTGCAAACCACCAACACCACCACACAACACACGGTGTGACGCATGGCTCTCTCGCCGTCTGTCTGTGTGTGTCTCTGTGGCTGTGTGTCTCTCTATGTGTGTCTCTCTATGTGTGTCTCTCTTTGTCTCTGTGTGTGTCTGTGTGTATCTGTGTGTGTGTCTCTCTATGTGTGTCTGTGTGTGTGTCTCTGTGGCTGTGTGTCTCTCTATGTGTGTCTCTCTATGTGTGTCTCTCTTTGTCTCTGTGTGTGTCTGTGTGTATCTGTGTGTGTCTCTCTCTGTGTGTCTGTGTGTGTGTCTCTCTTGTCTCTGTGTGTGTCTGTCTGTGTGTCTCTCTCAACTGAATCTATCCCCAAGTAACCGCCCAACTTAAACTCAACTCGGCACACTCAGCCTAGCCCGCAACTCGGGGGAAAACCCAACCCACACACACTCACACCCACTCACACACACTCACACACACACACCCCACACACACACACTCACACACACTCACACACACCCCACACACACTCACACACACACACACAATCACACACCACACACACTCACACCCACTCACACACACACACCCCACACACACTCACACACACCACACACACTCACCCCCACTCACACACACTCAAACCACACACTCACACACTCACACCCCACACACACACACTCACACACACCACACACACTCACACCCACTCACACACACTCAAACCACACACTCACACACACTCACCCCACACACACACACTCACACCCACTCACACCCACTCACACACACTCACACACACCACACACTCACACCCACTCACACCCCACACACACACACTCACACACACCACACACTCACACCCACTCACACCCCACATACACACACTCACACACACCACACACTCACACACACCACACACTCACACACCCCACACACACACACTCACACACAACAACAACCGCCATTCACCACTAAGTGGCGGTGACGTCACCCCGACGCTTGTGCCAGGCTATGTGCACCCTGAGGCCACGTGAAGTGTCGAACGCCAGCTGGCAGGAGGTCACGGGGCAGACCCAGGTGCCACGGGTCGACTGACTGAGATGACTGGCTGATGCACCACCTGTGCCCCCTACTGTGCCAACCTGCTGTGCTTTAGCCACCCGGCGCTCCGCTCGTTGTTGTGAGCGTCGCTCCTCCGCCCTCCGTTGTTGTTGGAGGGCGACTACCTCCAACTGCCCAGTAGCATCCTTCACGAGCCTCCTCCACAGAGGCCGATCTTGACACCGCTGGTACCAGTCATCGGCAAGTCCACTCAGCTCCACGTCGTCCTGTACCACATCACTCCATCTCTTCTCTAGCCCGTGCCGCGCCCGTTTAGCCCCCTCGATCCGGCCGAACAAAAGCTGTTTCGGCATGCGGTGGCTGGGCATGCGGGCTACATGACCCAGCCAACGCAGCCTTGCGTGCCGGAGGATTTTACCAATGGGAATTTGTCCAGATCTTTCAAGGATTTGTGAGCTCCTCACACAATCCAGCCTGGTTAAACCGAGGATGGATTGTAGGCAGGCCAGCCTAAATGTTTCTAACCGGCGAAGATGCTCTATTAGGGGGGGTCCACGTTTCGCAAGCGTAGAGAAGGGAGGGAATGACCGTGGCCGAGAAGACCTGAAGCTTCGTGCAGAGCGACAGACCAGGAAGCTTCCACACAGCGTTACGCAACTGATGAAAATATATTGCCGCTCGACTGATTCGGAGTGAGACCTCTGCTGTTAAACTGGAGCCGGTCATGAGCACACTGCCCAGGTATGGGAAACTCTCCACTCTCTCCACAACTGCCCCATCACCGATTGGGAGTTGTGGGAGTGGAGTGTCCAATGGTACAAAATACCCAGGCAGGTGCTTAGTTTTGGTGGGGCTGATGGTAAGGCCCCACCTCTTAGTGGCAAGCTCCAGGTTCAGCAGCAGCACCTCCAACTCCTCCTCTGAGTGAGCAGCAATTCCAAGATCATCGGCATACATAACGTAGTTGATTAATAGGGAACCATCCCTTGACTGCACCCAGGCATCGATCAACCTCCCATTATATCTGTACCAGGTGGAGATTCCCCCGGTACAGCTATTGAAGGCTTCACAAACTACGTGGTCAAAATAGATGTTAAGTAATGAGGGAGCCAGAGGACATCCCTGTCGCACCCCAAGGTGAACAGGGAATGGCTCCGACTCCCGGCCACGTAGTTTTACCCAGGCCCGCTTACCATCATGAAGGTCCTTAATGATCGTGAGCAGAGGGTCAGGGACTCCAAAAGCACGAAGAACAACCCAGAGCCCAGGCCTACTGATGGTATCATAGGCCTTGACCAGGTCAATAAAGCAGAGATGCAGATCTTGTTGGAATTCCCTACACCTCTGCTGTAGCAGACGGACAGAAAATATGGCATCTGTGCAGGACCGCCCTTTCCTGAAACCGCATTGGGGCTCCGCAAGCCTCTCCTCAGCGTGCCTGGCAAGGCGATGTTGTATAATCCTTGCCAGGACCTTTCCCGGCACACTGAGGAGTGAGATGCCCCTGTAGTTGTTACAGTCTGTGCAGTCATCCTTCTTAAAGAGGGGGACCACCAGGGCATCCTTCCAATCCTGCGGAACCCGTACAGTGGTCCAGACGGTTGTTATGATGTCATATAGGGCAGTGTGTGCACAAACGCCACCCTCCCTCAGCATTTCGCTTGGGAGATCATCTCTGCCCGCTGCCTTTCCTGGTCTCAGACTCCGGATCGCCTTCAGTACTTCCTCAACAGATGGCACCTCAGCCAGCCACCCACAGGGGTGACTTCTTCCAATATTTGAGGCACCGCAGCCTTAGCAGGGTCATCTCCACTTCGCCCCATGATGTTTTCCAGGCCGAGGGATTTCCCCTCCTCCAAAACCTCACAGAAATGTTCAGCAAATCTGAAATCCTGTCCTTAGGGGTCAGAAATCGGATCACCGTTCTTTCCCCTAATGATGGTAATAGGTGTGGCGCTGCAGGTTACTTTTTTGATGGAGTTAAATAGAGATTTGTGATCGCGGGCCACTGAGGCAGACTCCATCTCCTCAGAAACCCGCGACCACCACCCATCCTTCTAGCGCCTCACGGCTCTCCGAACCTCCGAGTGAAGGCTGCGGTAAGCCTCCTCATTCTCCGACGTGGGATGCTGTAGCCGATGACAGTGGGCCTATCGCATTTTCCCAACCATCCTGAACACCTCCTCTGTCAGCCAGGGTCTCTGGGGAGGTCTGGACCGTGTACCCAAGGCAGCCATTGCAGCTGCATGAGTCACAGTCCTAAACCTCGCCCATTTCCGCTCGACATCAGAAGGAGTGGGGGACGATGCCAACCCCAGCCGCAAGCGATGATGACATTCTTGCTTGCAACTTTCATCAGATACCTGAGACCAGGCCACTTAAGGGATTGAATGGGGACCTGGGTGTACACCCACCACCGGAGTGGAGGAATGGCAGGCGCATCTTACAGATGACTAGTCGATGGTCAGTGGGCAGATCAGCTCCACGGAAGGTCCTGGTGTCAAGGACATGGGCTCGCATTCGCTGGTCCGTCACTATGTAGTCCAGCAGATGTTCTTGCTTGGACCCGGCATGCATCCATGATGTTGTATGGATGCGCCGATGCCGGAACAGCGTGTTAGTAATTACAAGCCCATGGGCTGCACAAAAATCTAGCAGCCTCCTACCGTTGTTATTTAGTTGATCTGGCTCATGCCTTCCAATCACTCCAGACCAGGTGCCAGTATCATGACCAATTCGGGCATTGAAGTCACCCAACAAGATGACTCTTTCCCGAGGGGCCACTTTAGCCAGCACCTGCGACAGGAGGTCATAGAAGGCATCTGACTCATCGGCCTTGCCTGCATCCCGCCACTGATGTTCATCTTCGGTGGGGGCATAAGTAACCACGACCACCATTCCTCGCCTCTAGTTGATGGGAAGGCGAGCCCAGAGTAGCCTGGGGCTTGCAGCTTCCCACACCTCACCGCCACGATTCCATGCGCCCTTCATTATTTTGTTCAGAAGAAGAGCCACTCCTTGTTGTTTGGCAGTCTCCTGCCCCGAGTAGAGGACTGTCCACCCCTCATGGTGGCAGGAGCCAGAACCGGTCCACCAGACCTCCTGAATGCCACAGAGATCCAGGCGGAACCGGTCCAGCTCCTAATAGAGGAGTGGCAGCCTCTCCTCCGTAGTTAGCGTTCGAACATTCCACGTGGCCATCCGTAGTGGCTTTTTGTTGTTTCTGGAGGAGCCCCGAGGGTAGATGTTCAATCTCCTGGCTCCGCCAAATGGGCAGGAGACGTCATAGACGCCTGTCCCCACGGGGCCTCCTGCACAAGCTTAGTTGGATATTTTTCACGTGGTTTTGTGGTAAATATATTGAAGGTTGAGGGGTGACCAGCCCCTCGCACCCGTCCAGAGCCCCCATTTGGGCTCTGCTGTGGCTACAAACGCCATGGGGGGAGTGGACAATCTGAGTTGGCCCTCCCACCATGGCACCGCTCACCACAGCTTTGCCGTCTGACACCAACGAGGAGGTAGGGAGTTGTTTTGCCGGACACGACACTCACACACAGACACACACAGACACACACACACAGACACACAGACACACACAGACACTCACACACAGACACACACACAAACACACACACAGACACACACACACAGACACAGACACACAGAGACACACAGACACACACAGACACACAACAACAACAACAACCGCCATTCGCCACTAAGTGGCGGTGACGTCACCACGACGCTTGTGCCAGGCCATGTGCACCCTGAGGCCACGTGAAGTGTCGAACGCCCGCTGGCAGGAGGTCACGGGGCAGACCCAGCAGGTGCCACGGGTCGACTGACTGAGATGACTGGCTGATGCACCACTTGTGCCCCCTACTGTGCCAACCTGCTGTGCTTTAGCCACCCGGCGGTCCGCTCGTTGTTGTGAGCGTCGCTCCTCTGCCCTCCGTTGTTGTTGGAGGGCGACTGCCTCCAACTGCCCAGTAGCATCCTTCACGAGCCTCCTCCACAGAGGCCGATCTTGACACCGCTGGTACCAGTCATCGGCA